TACTCATCTCTCTCTTCTCTCTCTCTCTCTCTCTCTCTCTCTCTCTCTCTCTCTCTCTCTCTCTCTCTCTCTACATCACATTAGTAGGACAAGTTTCGCGAACATTCTACTCTATGTGGTGACATACCTTAAACGTGTCCCTGTGTCTCGGACCCATATTTTGATCGACCTTGACCTCAAAGTCCGAGGCTCTGTCAAGGACCAGGCGACGGATGACGTCACGGGCCGCCTCACCCTGAACATGCGCGGGGGTTTTTGTGCTCACGTGACTCAGCTGGGGGAAATCTGGGGAGATACAGGCAGGAAGCAGCAGAATTATAATTGTGAGGCATCGTGGTGAAATCAGGCGCCCGTCAAAATAATGAAACCGAAGAATCGGGTACCTTTTCTTCAGTTTGGCAGTTTCTATCGAATTTTTGTATTTTGGCTCAACACCTTTTACGTCCATATAAAATACATTCCTATACTAATTTTACTGAAAAACGTTGATTAATGGCAAGAAAATATGTGTTCCAGTTTTTAAGGACTCTCAAGCTACAGAAGTTACCAAACTTCGGCGGCCATTTTCTCGATAATTTTAATACTTTTACCTCTGAAACCATGCCACCCCACCTCCTTCAATCGCAAATATTTTGACTTCTCTTCAAGATAGATGGGTGGGTTTTTTTCTTAGAAAGCAGGGCAAATGAATAAGCTTTTAGAAGATAAAAATAACTCCACATGTCCAAAAATTGACAAGCGCCTGATCCCACCAGGTCGGACACATATCACATGAGATGAGAAGATCCTTAGCTTACCTCTGACAGTGGTACACACACAAAGCACAGCTGACAGTAGAAACAGGGGCTTCCCGAGGTTGAACATTTTGTATCTTCTTGAAGATGTTCAACCTGACAGAAGCAAGGACCAACACGTAAAAAAAAAGAAAAAACAAGAAAAAACAAGAAAAAAAACAGAAAAAAAGGAAAAAAAAAACAGTGGTAGAAAGCGAAAGATCAGAAAAGGTCGCAGCGTTGAAAACGTTGTCGAGCAATGCATTTAAACAACAACTATGAGATCAAAATATTCATTTAATAAATTATTTTATATGAAAAATATTAATATTTTACTCATTTTAAGATAGTTTTCATGTATACATGTATATTGTGCGTGTACTTTGGTAATCTAATTATCTTGAAAATAATGTGTGTTTTTCTACACGTATTTGAAAAGACATTACAGAAAGGAAACAGCTCTTACCAAAATAAAATGAAATCACACGTCATGGAAAAGGCAGATTTTCCTTACCTCTATTTTAGTAGTCAAAAGCACCAGAGATGGAGATGTCTTTTCCAAAAATTAGTCATAAAAGTCGTAGAAACCTGTACACAATAGGTTACTTTCACTTTCAACCTGTTGAAGTATTCGCATCAATAATAATGTCTCTCCAATTTTGCCTCTGGGCTTGTAAAAAGTCAAAGATTTAAATCACAACAGGAACAGCATCTACTGAGAAATATTTTAATAATACATACAAAAAAGGGTCAAAGACACTTCTATTTAGGCTGATAGAAAATCCAATTTCAGACTTCAAATCACACTGAATTTCGATAGTTTTGTCTCTCGCATCGTCTTTTATTATGGGTCCATTCATCGATAGTTGAGAATAAACATTGAAAATCGTTTAACAAACTAAAGATGATTGCTGAATAAACTGCCCTGTGATCTACGTTTCTAGGCCTACATACTTACCATAGACGGCGAAAGCTCTTGTCAGTTTGTTAGTTTTCTAGCGCCTATAAAATGGCAGCTTGCACTGTATGCTCACCAGGAAGTTGAGATAGTTTCAGAAATCTATCAGGTCTGCTTGGGTAATACTATTGTAGATTGTAAAGTTCCCAAAGCTTGTGCAGGAATTTGTGCTAAACAGAATATGCTATTATTTTGACTTACAAAACAATTATTGTGTTTAAAATTTCCGGCACAAAACAACACGTCATGTCGCTGTCTTAGATCTGCGCGTAGAGTAGCATCAAACAAGTCTTTAGTATGTCTGGTATGCAAATAAAAAGTAATAAATTTAATGACAGTTTTGATCGTATGGTTTTATAGTCACATGACCGATTTGTTTTAGTATCACGATTATTTATAGACATGTTTTTACATTGTTTGTGCTACGACGCTAAGTTTGTTACTGTATTCACTGGTCCAGCAGCTGACGTACGTACGAAGTAAATTGTGAGGCAGCGTGGTGGAATCAGGCTCTCGTCAAAATAATGAAATCGAAGAAAACAGCAATTTTCTCCCTGCTTAGCAATTTTAGTCAAATTTTTGTTTTTTGGCTCAACACCTTTTATGTCCATTTACAAACACATTCCTTTGAGAATTTCACCGAAAACGTTGATTAAAGGCACAAAAATATAAATTTACAAATGTCCATGGACTCTCCAGCTTTGGAATTTACAAAGCTTTGACAACCATTTTCTCGCTAATGTTACCTCTTAAACCAGGTGACACCCAC